TTCTAAATTTGGTATGTTTAATAGTGATATTTAATGGAGTTCTAAAAATAAAATAAAAATATTTTTGTGTTATTGAAAAGTTTCTTGTAATTGAAAACTTTTAGCATGCCTTGCTACAACAAACCAGAAATTAGCATATGAAGATCAAACATTGAACAATACATTAGCATATCTTATCCATCAAAGTGATGAGTTTCAATCAAGGAGATGACTTCACCTTTTCTCTTCACCAAAAAGACCCTTGTCAAACTCGTAAATAGACGGATCATCGCTGCATTTGGAATTCATAAGCACCACTAGCTAGATGTGAATTGTGCGTCTCTCTCTTGGTTCCGACACCGAAAACTTCATCCCCACACATTATTCCTTACCACACTAGACAAAGGGGATTGCGTAGGTTGCGACCAGACTGATACCTATGTACTCGGTTGCACAGAATGCGACTACTCCTTGAATTTCAAATGCGCTACTCTACCAGTAGTGATATAGTATTTGTTTTTGAGCTCTGGCGAGAAGGCAACCGGTATATATTGGTGTGAGATATGTGAAGCCAAAACCAATCCTCAGAAATGGTTCTACACATGCCATGATTGTGGGGCCATATTGATTGCGTAATCGGAGAATCACTGAACATCAAGCCAGGAGTCATGGACAACGACGAGGAGTCGAAATTAGAAACGGTTCTTAACGATCAAAATACTAGACCACTATGCTCTTGTTGTGGCTCTCGTTGTAGGTTCCCTCTGTATTTCAACTGTTCCAACGAGACTATGGATGGACTCTATTGCTCACTATGTTGAAGATAGCGATGAAGCTTCTCCTTGAAAGGCCACCTGATTCTGGTGGAAGGAATGAATGGGGGAGGAGGCGAAAGGAAGGCTTAGGGGAACAGAGAATGAAGCTCTGTTGTGTGTTTACAATTAAACCTTTTCTATTTATTTATTGTTGGTTTGCTTTGTCCAGTTCATGTAAAACTACATAAACTATGATTGTTTTTGTTTCTTCAATTTGTATAAATTGAAGGAAGATTTTTAGCTCAAATATATATGAGTTTTGTGGGGTTTTCCAACTCAAACCAATTTGGTAATGAAACATATGGCCAATTTCTTTTACATATATGGTTCTAGCTAGATATCCCACTGAAAACCTCAACAATGGCGGTTACTTTGCTTATGTTAGAAGACTGATGTCTTATGCAAACCCATTCTCATATCTTGGTGGCGGGACTACCAACGCATCAAGCTCTGGTCCAGTACCTCAAACAAGTATGAGGGAGTACGGTGGAGCTCATAAAATCCTTTCTAATGCACTTGCTTACTGATTCTCTGTTTTTTTTCTGTCTCTAGGACTGAATCCGGAGCTGAGAAACAATATAGCGCAAGCGGGCTCCTCGAGTAGAGATCCATCAGAAGGTAGGAGCAACGTTCGGAACAGGAGACCAACCACTTCTCGGATTGGAAGTAACATCCATACGCTGAAACACGATGAAGAAGACACTCCGTTTGGCGACGGAAACGCGTTCTGGAATGGAAACTCCACACATTACGGAGGTGGAAACGGTGGAGACAGTAATGATAGGCGATGAAATGAGACCTTGAAATATATTTGGACCTAGTAACAGAAACAGCTCTGAGTTATGGACTCTATTGAACTCTTCCAGTTTACTTTTTATACTTCACTCCCTAAATGAAACCATCTATATGTTCCGATAAGATTGACCAACTACAAGATGTTTATAGAATCATAACCGAAAACAAATAAAATGTTATCTCTCTCAACAGTTTGTCTAAGCCAATCATGAGTAACATGGTCTAAAACAGCATGATAAATAGGGAAACAAGAAGCATACTAAGCTAATGCAACTTACAAGTGAGTCAAACAAAAAAAAAAGTTGCTTTTCCAAGAATTTGATTATGTGGTCAACTTTGATAAAAAAA